GGTTGTGCAGTCCTGCTCAGTTGCCCAGTCTGTTCTGTTCATTTGTGGGACACACCAGTGGTGGCATGGGTGCTTTGTCAGCAGTAAATGGGAAGATTAAAGCAAATTAAGTAGAAGTGAATCAGGAGCCTAAGGAAGCCTTAGGTCTGGACTGCTTTGCTATTTGAGATTGCTACTAGTGGTGAGCACCATGGTATAATGAATAATCAGTCTGGCAAACCACATCCATTCTGCCTGCATGAAAGCCAGTGCTGTGAATATTTAACCCCTGAAACATGTCCCAGGCAGTGGCAACGCTGGGGATGTTGTGTCTGGCTCCTTTAGAGCCCCGTGCACTGAGTCACGCTGCACATCCCACAGCTGAGTCATCCCCAAGGACAGAAGACTCCCGGTGCTCTGCTGCGGTTCATTCTGCACAGAGTCACTACGACACCTCTCAGACACATGCAAAAATGAACCGTCTTAGGGCCTTAGTTACTAATCAATCATAAATTCTAATTAGAACAAGATCCAGGTTTAATATACATTAACCTTATGCTTCCACTTAGTGGATGCATACATAATGTTGTAATGGTGTTGCCCAGAAATAAGGCTCCTAACCATATTGATGCAATTATAAATTGAGAAAATGAGCTGAAGATTTCTATAGATAGGGTTGGTACGGTTTTGCCAATGACTTTGAGATAGAAATATGAGTGTAGGAACATGACACTGATGGATAGCACTGGATCTGCCTATGTGAATTAGTTTTTTGGCAGACTTGTATCTGAGATATTGGATGCTTAGCAGCCATTTGTAGCTACTGTGCTGATTGCAGAAATTTTGGGCATGTGCATAAAAATCCTTAAATTTTGCTCTACAGAAATATCTGTGCGGGGCAAAGGTGCCTGGGGAAACGTACGCGTACCTGTTGGTCCTGGTCAGTACAGTTCATTACAAGTATTAATGGTATCAAAGTCACATCTGTTCTTTGCCTTCAGTTGTTGTGAGTGGTTTTCTTTGGTGGATTTTTTAAAAGTATTACTCATTTGATTTCCTGTGCTTGGAATGGATTTATTTTGAAATATTTATTTTAACATTGGTTTTTGATGTTTTACCAACACTGGGCAATGAAAGCAGACTGCATTTCAGTTTCAATTCTGATTCAGTACAACTTCCAGTTCCTATTGCTTGTGCCTGTACAACCTGCAAAATATACATGATAATATATGTAGAAATAAATCCAACGCTTTCAGTGATGTTAAAAGTACCTGCATCATTTCTGCTAAGTGCAGGTCATGTGCTTTGAAGCCATGACATTTTATGTGCTGACACCCAGGCTGTCTTTCAAAGAGACTGATTTCAAAGTGAACATGGTGGAGTGATTGTCCCATCAAAAGGAGCTTCCTAAAAATAGTTTTCCATGAGTAGGTAAGAGGAGATCTTATGACAGATGGAGGAGCTGTTTGTATGTACCATCTCTCATTTGTAGCCAGACTCATCCCAGAGATTTTCGTCTGGGAGAACTGGAGGCAGAGTTAATTCCTTGTCCTATTTCTTGCCTCCTACATTTGTGCAAAAAGGTACCTGGGTGCTCTCCCAGTGCAGAAAAGGAAGTGAGAGGCCCAGGGTCACTGCATGGTCCTGGCTCTCCAGGAGCACATTTTAGATGGATTAAACGTGGCCAAAGCTGGTGGGAAGCTACACGGCTGAAGAGTTAAATTGGAATGGTTTTGTAGGGGTGGGGCCTTAGTCATACGATTTTTCTGAGGCATATGGGGATGAATAAAACCCTCATTTTATTGAGGCTAGAATGTGTGGGAGATAGGGTATTTTTCTTTATTTGGAATCGCTTTGGAGTGGGTGAAGGAATTACAGCGAAACCTGACCTATTGGTTGGCAGCCCTCACAAATTGATGTCGCTGCAAAGGTTGGAGGCAGTGGTAGATATGTGGCTTACTGTGCTGGCTCTATTTTTGGTTTCTGACTGCTTGCAAGTTCCGTTTACAAATGTCAGGAAAATGCATTAGGATTATCTGCTTTGTTGTAGAAGTAATAAAATGCTGTCCAATTTAGCCAATAAAATAGCTAAAATCAGGCTCCCGCTGTCATGGCAGTGGAGCTGCTAAATGTACGCGGTGGCTCCACAGGACTTTTAAGCTACCTGCTCTGTTCTTTTCCTCATTGTTCATTTCCCACCATTGTACTGATTCAATATGGACATTAGGAATCTCTGGGGTTTTTTTCATCAGAGGCTCCTCTAGGAATAACTGAAAATGTGTATTGAGAATAAGGAAGGTGAGGGTTCAGCAAAAGCTCTGCGATTCATTCCTGCAGTGCTGTACCTTGCTCCTGGAGCACGGCAGTGATACTGAAGGCATCAAGACCACTGGTTATTCCTTTGTCTGGGGGTCTCAAGTGTTTGGATGTTAAAAAGTACTTCCCTAAAAGTCCTTGCGGCTTCGGTGCCTGGAATGAGAGCCAGTTGTTGTCTTTAGAGGATGTGGTCAGTCTGTGGCAACCTGTATTGGCTGATTCCCTGTATACCCATATTACAGCTGCTTTCTGTGCCATAGAGCATTGTCTCATGGACAGACATTGCATTTAAGCTGGCATGATTTACTGGTGAGCTTTCTGACTGTACTTGTCAGCTAGAAGCTTTAATGTGCTGAAGTCAGGGCTGAGGGTGCTTTGGCAATGTTATTTGTGAAAGAAAGACAATTGACTTGTTATTCCCACTAAAAATCCATAAATAATACATAATATAAATAAAATATAAAAATACATCTTTCCAGTGCTTAAATGGTCATTACTGCTTTTATTATGGCCTTTTACCACTACAAGTTAGTATTGTAGGGCACCAGTCATATTCACTAGCTAAAAAGAAAGGTTTAAGCAGACTTGTGACAGTTAATACTTGTTTTCAATTACTGTTTTAGGTAGCGCAGGCCAACCAGATTGTGTGTTACTTCTGTGGAAGAATACATAAAAATAAAGACAGTTCTCAAGCTGACGACCTTATGCTTTAAATACACCAAATATGTCCCCTAAAGCATTCTTGAAGTGTGGCTGTCCGTATGCACTTCATCACCTGTAGAAATTATATGTTTGTTTTTAAGGGAATCATAGAGTTAAGTTGTTTTAAGTCTGGATTCAAGTAGGGAAAAAGCTGGCAATTCAGTAAAAACTGAGGTGCTAATTCTGCTACGGAGGCAGGCTAGAAATAGGAGTAAAAGTGTGGCTTTGAGCGGCGTCATGACGAGAACATTGCAAGCTTGTGTGTACCTGTGAAAGCCCCTATTTTTTGATGCAACTTCTGCAGTTTTTGAAACTGTGTGCCTCTGATGAGACATACAATGAAATTTTGATAGGTTATGTATTATCATGCAGTGAAGTGTTCAAATTTGCAGCTGGATCACTCCATGCTAGTGTCAGCTTGTCACGTGTAGCTCTTGGCCGGCAAGTCTGACCAAGAAATACAGCCTTTTTTTTCACCTCAGAGATGAAGTGTGGGAAATGATGGTTTAGCAATGAGAGGGAGATGTAAATCCATACAACTGATTCAGTACTCTTCAACTCAGAGAAAATGGGAATCTAGAATTGAACTTGATGAACTTTCTTTGGGTTTTGGCCAACTCTAGTGATAATGTTCAAATATTTGTGATATCTGACATGCTCCTGGCCACAGCCAGGTCTTAGCTCAATAAGAGAAGGGTTGTTTTTTCCAGGATTTTAATTTCTGTTCATGCAGATAAGTGCCATAGCACTGCAGTTTGCTGTTACTGAAAAGAGCAGTCAAACCGTAGCAGCTCTGTTCTGCCAAGCTGTTCTAATGAATACTAAAATGCTGAAAATTAGATATTGCCTTTGTCAGCCTAAGATTGACAAAGTCATTGATGAGTCTGGTTTTTGTTTTCTTTTTAGTTAAAGCATTTTTATTTTTACAAAAATGTATTTTTCTTAGTAAGTTAGCTGTTATCTGTCCAGAAGAGCGTTGTAAATTTAATCCTTTTAAGCCTTATTCCGAGCCCTCTTAATATTGGAGCTCAAGTGCTGTGCATTTTATTCAGGGAGCACAGGTTGAGTTAGCCTTGTCCTCATTCAAAAGTGTACAAAACACAGCAAGAGGGCTAGAGCTGCTCAGTGCTCAGAGCTTGGCATGGCGTGGTATTGCTGGTAGCCTGTTAGAGCTGCACTTCAATGAAATCCCAGGTTCAGGTGATGGCCTCTACTGATGGACTTTTCCTTTGCTGACTGCTTCTTTGGCATTCCTCTGGGGTATTGAGAGGTATTTTTCCTTGTGCACTACCTCCTAGAATTGGGAACTGTGAGATGATAGAATTAGGCTGTATGGATTAAAATGATAAAACTTAGTTTATAATTATTAAGTTGTTTTTCTAGATGTTAGCCTGTTTTTAAAGTCTCATTCTATCTTTGAGAGGCAGCATGCGGTCAAAATGAGAGCTGGTCCGTGCTTTCCTGCTAATGCTTTTTGCATTGCAAATCACTGATCTGATGGACTTTGAAGCATTTCTTGGTGCTGTGTGCATTACCCTTTGGCTTTTTGGTGAAAGGATGGCAGTCAAAGAATTCTGGATGTGCCTGCATAGTTTTCTGTCAGCCAGTGCAGGTGGGCTTTGGTGCTGGCTGGAGCAAGGAGCCCGATGAAACATGTAAAGCTTTCTGAGAGTTTGAAATTGTGTTTTCAACATGTTTTTACTCAAAAGTGCACCTGAAATGTAGCATGTTTCATAAACAGACTGTTTCTGAATCCTACGCTAAAGTCTGCCCCCGTTATGGTTTTGGAAGACAGAAAAGCATCTTTCGAGTGACCTAACCATTTCCTGCAGCACAAGGCCTTTCTTGTAGACTTCTTTTAAGTTTTTTTTCAGGTCATTCTAGTGGGAACTGGGTGAAACTGAGCCCATGTGTTGAAACTAGTTTTGTAGCTGTTGGACAAGAGAAGAAGAAAGGATAAAAAATATTTAAAATTATTCTAAATAGTATTTTCTTTCCTTTAGCTGTCTCCGTAATGAGATACAGTGCATCATCATTTGGATTTGCTGTAAGTAGAGATACAATTTAAATATTCTCCTCCATATTTTAGTGGGCTTTTTCTGAACATGAAACACTGTATTTTTTCTTATTGTAGGTTCATAGCAAGGTGTGCTAAGTTAATAATGAATTTTAAAAAATGTTCTTAAAGTCATACCTTGGAGAGGATGGTAAAGATGTTTTCCTTATACTTTTTCAGTTTCTGGCTACTAAGTCTTATATTGGGATGAATATCGATACTTACATCTCACCATTGATAGATATTATTCATCAGATATGTGAATTTTCCTCTACAAAATCTCTCGGCTGAATCAGTTCTGTTGTTGTACTTGAGCCAGATGCCGGAGTTTTCTTCTGAACTTTGCGGGACCCTTTTCCTACTGGAGTCTGAAAGTCCTGCTGACTTTGAGATGGCAGCTTCCCTGCCTAGTACTTGCTGTGACTTTCCCAACTAGTGGCAAAATGGCAAAGCAAAAAATCCCTTGGAACAAGCTAAATGACTAATTTCAAACAATATGGCTTTTGCTTTCAAATTTGAAGATTTGACTTGAGGGTGAAAGTTCTGACAGTGGGACAAGTCTGGTTTTCAGTGTTACCTGACATCATGTCTTCTTGTACTGGAAATACTAACATGGCAATTTTGCTGATGATGCAGAATAATCTGAAACCTGGATACAATGAGATTTTGAAAGAAGTTATGAGTTCCTTTTGAAAGAAACCTTCTATGGCAGAAAATTAGCGAATTTACAGGAAAAAGGAGTGCTTGACAGGCATTTTCGAACCCTTTTTATAAGAGTCTTTGCATAAGAATGATATTATTTTAATTCTTGTGGTGCCACAATGGCTGATTGTGTGTTAAGTTTGGGTTTGGGGTTTTTTTTGGCGTGGTTTTTTTTTTGTTGTTGTTTTTTTTTTTTAAAATTCTCTACAGGTGATGGATTATAAATAAAAAGTTTTAATCCTTTGAATTACTGAGGTCTGAATTGTATCATTGTGCAATAATACATGGCAAAAATGTGAAGATCAATTTAATAAATGTAAATCCTGCTTTCATTAAAATGATTTATTTGAAGCTGCTTTGTGCCTGTGCAGCAGGATAGTAAATGCATTATTGTTCGTACAGGGCACATTTAACAGCCCACAAAACAATTGACTCTGTGTCTCTTTCAGTTTGATGCTACCCTGGATGTTTTGTCATCAGCGATAGTTTTGTGGCGTTACAGCAACGCAGCTGCTGTGCATTCTGCACACAGGGAGTACATGTAAGTACACTTAATTACTTTTGGCTTTGGTAGAGGCCTGCAGAGCTTTTGCTGTCAAGCTGTGATGCTACAGATTCCAGAGCTTTGACAAAAAACATTTTGTCATGTCAGCAAGTATTCCTTCCTTCTGCCAGTTTACTGTTTGGTCCCAAACATGTAGCCTTTCCTTAGGCAAACCTCCCTGTGATAGTGATTTTCAGTTTCTTTTTAGCCAAGCTAGTAATTGTTAGGACTTTTTGATTTTTTCCCTTGCAGCATCTGTATCAAATGAAGTGTATTTGCAATCTGTAATGGATTTGTAAGTCTTTTATTTTGCATCTTACTCCATTATTCTTTCTAGAGTATGTTTTTAAAATTGTTGCTTGTATTACATTTGTGTTTCTCTCAACAAGATCAGAATGAACCCCTTCTCTTTCTATGTAAATCACTTTAACTGCTAGTGATAATACAAGTTGAGATTACAGAACATCCAATCAGTTTGAGCCTGTATTAGTGATACGATAGTAGAGTGACAGAGTTTATTGTAACAGCTGTACGCAGACAGAGGTAGACACACCTTTTTTATTACGGAGCTGTTGCTGTTTTGGTAAGTAAGAGTACATCAATACTGGCATGTCTTCTGTATGGACTTGCAAGGTAAGCATACTTACTGATTGCTTTATAGAACCTGTGGAAAAACCCAAATCTTTAATTTGCAGTGCATTATTGATCACAGTGGAAATTATGCCCTGCATCATGGTGCATTGTGCAGCATTTCTATTGGCAATGTGTGTGGTAGCTGAGAAGATCAAATGGAGATTGGTTTGAGAATTGTTCCATAGGAGTGCATAAAGATGACTTTAACCTCCTCAGATATTTAGGTACATCAAGGGGGAGAATTGCAGTAGATTTATCTGCTTTCGTTTTGTTCTGTGCTGCCATTGCTAGCAGTATCCCATCTGGCTTGCTTGAAGATAGTTCAGCTGTCTGCTGGAACGGACTACAATTTTATAATAAAGGGGGATAAGGTGGCTTTTGTTCTGAAACCCCTCCAATCAATTCCCTCCTGTAAGAAGGGAAGCCTGATGAAACTGGACTTATACTTGGTAGGATCAAGTTAAAAAGAAAAAGTCATGCAGAGTGGACTGTAACCTGTTTTCGTAGTCCTTTCCGAAAAACTATGAAAACAGTAAGTATTATTTCTACTTGCATTAACTCAGGCTCATGCTACAGCTTGCCAGCACTGTGAGTTCCTTTCTGGCAGGGCTCCATATATAACAGTTTGGAATAAAAGGCCACACAACATTGATGTGGCATTGATTCATAAAAATAAATCCAGAAATATGTGATTAAAATTAGTCTTTCTGCACAAATTTGGAGATCTCAACAGACATTTCCTGTGTATCTTGCTTTTGTGGGCGTCCACAGAGATTCCTGTCAACATTCAATTAACATCTTTTTGAATTCTTCTTCTGCTGAGCTTTTTCAAGTGAACCCTGTAAAGTACGTTATAGAGAAAATAAATCCCAATATAAAAGAGGAATCAACATATCCCTATGGCTAAGCCAGTGAAGTGAACAAGCAAGGTAGCAAACATATTTTCCTGCTTTTTATGCTTATTTTTAATTTGCTTTCATATAATCCCTCTGCTTTACATAAGGCTAAATTAAGTTAATGAATTTCTTGCCATGCCCTCTAGTTGAAGACAGCTAAGGTTACGTGACGAGATCAGTACTGAGTGAAAGAGTTTTACCATATGTTGGGAATATGAATCACTGGGTAGACAGTCTGGTTATCCCTCCGTTTCTAGGATTGACAGGAGAATCATCATAGTACTGACAGGCAAAGAGCTGGTTGTGTCTCTTAGGGCAATTCTTACTGTGTCAGATTTCTGAGGGAGGCACATTTCTAATTTCCTGTTGTGTTTAATCAATCTCTTGCTTGAAAGACTGCATGTAATTATTTTTCCTCAACGCTGGGAAAATGTTGCATGACTCCTGGCTGTGTGCTTCCCTTGGAAATTATCTTTGTATCATATGTGCCTATAACTATATCTGATCTTTCACACTCGTTGTTTATAGTGTGCCAGTGCCTCAGTGGAGAATTCGGTGCAGATCCATTTAGGTGCCTAGATCGCGCTGTGCGTTATTCCTGTTTCTGTACCTTAGTGTAGGGAGCCTGCACAGAACTCTGGGTTTCTGCAGAAGCATTACTACTGTTTACCAGAGTGAGATGTGCCAGAGTGACTTCAGTTTAGTTCTTTATTTATAGGTCTGTCTTTTATTAATTTAAATACTACATTTTTCTCAGTATCCTAAAATACCTGAAAATAACCTGAGCTCCTTGTCAAAAGCCAAGTGGAATTGCCAATTAATTGTATTGCAAATTTATAAAACTTCCTGATTCATAAACTTGACAGCAAGAGATTGATCCAAAATCTGTTGCAATCAGTGGAAAGGCAACGTTAGATCCAGTCCTAACTGTTGAACATTGTTAAGAGAGAACATAAAGTTAGGATGAAAAACAAAGCTCCAGAAAAGGATACAGAGAATACAGCCTGACTCATGATGTGCTATGAATGAAATACTCAGAATGAAATGCTAAAATGTAAATGAGCTGCATAGTCTTCTTTAAGATGTAGCCATATGGAAGTTAGAGATGCAACATTTCATGGGCTGGTTCTCGGAATGAACAGTACAAAACTGCTTGCAGTGCCAAGTTCTGCTAAACTCAACCAATGCATTTCCATTTGACTTCCGGGGAATTGTAGTGCTGAAACCCTCATGAACATTCATCCTGCTGAGTTTAACTCCGTTTACTGGGTTTCATTTTTACTAGATCACTTGATTTCTCTCATTTTCTGGGGCAAGATGAGAAGGTACTTTTCCAGTGTACTTGTGACCAAAGTAATACAATGTACATCTTTGTTGATTCTCATGGTGGTTCACATGTAATAACGGCAAAATATACTTTAAATTGCCTCTGCAATTTGTCCTTGTGAAAATTCTTTGTTATTGAAATCCTGAGAAGCTAAAGCTGGCAGGCTTTTTTAAGTCTGTTACTGAATTTTTCTTAAGTCATTGTGGAAAGGTGTATCTGGTTATGTTCAAGGTATGTCTTAAATTATGATGAAATTTTTATGCTTTATTTTTATATATACCAAGTGGCTTTGAAAATATAACGAATATTCACCAAGATCAGGTATAAACCACTGTAAAATTGTAGGCCATATAACACACTGCTTGGTTCTTCCTACCTGGGTCATTAATGAAGGAGGAGGATAAATACTTGAAGTGTTTGTTACTGGAACTTTCTGAGTAGTTTTGCACTTCACTATCTTTCTGTTTTGGCGGTCAGATAAAAGAGGGTAAAAGCAGGCTACTACATTTTCATGTATTTTAGAAGAGTGGTTAAAAGAATTGCAGGTCTTGAGGAAATGCAAAAATTGGGAAGGACTACAGATACTGGGAAAGAGAGTCAGTACATAGCTCATGAGTGCTTGATTTGCTCAGCATGATTTCCTGGGTTGCAAGTTAACATGCAGGAAGCTTAGAGGTGCTGAACAAGTCATCAACAAAGCAATCAAGAAATCCAAGAAAGAAAAGAGTGCTGAAATAACTTGAGAAATAGTTTTGAATATCAACAAAAGATGAAAATTAACAATCAAAATAAAATTCTTGCAGTTCCTTTTGTTCTTCGTAAAAGGAGGCACTAAGAATAAGGAATATGCTCTGATGTGGATGATAAACCAGAGACTGTAGAAATATAATAGAGCCACTATCTGTGCACTTTGGGCCAGGTACATCTTATTAATTCATGGTAAGAGTTTTGTGCAGTACTGTGCCATAGAACGGCTGGGGTTGACAGGCACCCCTGGAGATCATCAGTACAGCCCCCTGCTCAAAACAGGATCGATTAGAGCAGGTTGCCAGGTTAAAGGTGTGAATCCAATCTTTCCTTCTGGGATTTGAACACTGAACGATCACTGAGCCATTCAAGATGTGGGAAGAAATCTCAATAGTTCCCCTTCCTACTTTCCATAACCACTGTACAAATATTCTTAAATATTCTACCCTTTAGTAATTTTTTAGCAACATAATAGCTTCCTGGGCTGCTGAAGCAAATCTAAATTCTGTTGAAGGAAGAAATTTATTGAAATGGATGTGGTAGCAGTGTTTTCTCATGTGCATAAATAAACCCGGTAAATAGCAGTAGAAGTAATTTCTCGATAGAAGACTGAAGCATTAGGGACCTGGAAAAAAACCTCATGAGAGCTTGAACTAGTAACTAAGCAGCCACAGGGCAGCTCCTTGATCTGTTAATTCAGGAATGAAGGACTTGAATTGGAGTGCTGGAACTGTGTACAAGGAGAAAGTGAGAAATACCACTAAAAAAGGAAAGATCGAGAAAACAGAATAACAAACTTTGTGCACAGAGGCTTGTGAAAAAGCTACAAAAGGAGCTTTTTATATATAGTTGGTTGGAAAAGTATCAAAAATGTGAACAAAAGAAATGTCTCCTGTTTGATTCCACCTCTGTTCAGAAAAACGGAGCTTTTCTCATGGTAAGTTAATAGAGTAAGTTGGCAGCCTGCTCAGGTCAGATGGAGTAGTGCTACTTCTTAGGCTATGAAGCAGTATCTCTGTTGTCACATTAAAGAGCTACAATCTTATATTTTTGTACAATGCAGTGCAGAACCGAGTGTCTGCTTATGCTTGCACAATCCATTGCTCCTGGGTTTATTTGGCTAATGGGTTTTGTTTGAGCTTGTGTGTTCGGTATTGCAAAAACTAACTCTGTGCAGCATATTTGCCGTAGTGATTCTTGACAGTTGCAGCTGGTGTTTATCGTATATTATTTTGTTGATGGTACCAACTTAGATTCTGTGTTTCTCAAGAACCAGTCTGTCAACATCTTTTTTTAACCCAGTGCCAGAGAAAATCAGAAACCTTACTCATAGTGAGCATGCTGGATAAAGCCAAGAGCAGAAAGCTCACATTTCTTTCACTGTTTTTTGGGGG